ACACTGTGTAGGTCTAAATATTAATCAGAGGACAAAGCAGCTGTAATATTTAATATTTTGTTAAATTGTAGCATGATTCAACAGTGCTAAACACTACAGTATGCTCCACAAGCTAATATCTGCTAACCAGTTCAATAAATAACAGTGATTACATTGACTTTATAAGATTATTTTCATTTTAAACTGTTACATTATGTTCTGCTCAGATCACATTTAGCTAAATAAGATCAAATCTGCTGACTTGTTGTGAAATGAGACGTTTTCCTGTTTATCTTCTGTTAATAAATCCATAACAAACAGCTTTTCTGACATTATTTAAAACATTAGACTACATAAACTGTAAAATATTAATAATAATTGGATTATTATTATTATTATTAATAGTTTTAATGATTTCTACATCGTCAGTCCTTTTTTCTGCTCTGTTGTCAACATGTACAGCAAAGGGAAATCCAGAGTTTTGCCCATTTAGCGTTAGCCATTAGCTTCTCCTGCCGATCACACGGTCACYTGGTTTTTGCGCACTCCAGCTGTTCTATAGGACCTCCTTGGTTACGTTCTACGTCTGACACAGAACACACCTCCAGGGGTGTAACCAGGAAGAAAAAACATAAGGTCAATTCATTATTATAGCAGAGAAGTGTTTTCAGAAGGAGTTGTTTGTGTGTTGCAGAGTCTCTGCTCAGAGCAGGGCTCCTGTGTTTTGRTTTGGTTTAGCTCAAGGTTTTATGGTGAGGCCTGTGCTGCAGTTGCTGTATGAACCTGGTTGGAGTCAGAAGATGGAGAATAAAGTTTTAACAAGAAATCCAGTTGGATTCCTGTTTATTCTGACATACCATTTTGAACAACGCATCTTTTTCCTAATTATTTTTTCTTTTTTTGCTCTTGTTATTGATTGTCACCGGTTCCGAAGACAAAAATAATTTTCAAAATTAAAGTTGTTTTTGCAGAGTATTTGAAAATATGTCCAATGTGTTATATAAAAAGAGTAAAACACATATTTTTACACTAGATTTGTGCATAGAAATGAGGTTTGTCAGTACCAAAAGCTAAAATGAGGCGATGCTTCAATTTGTACKTCCACCAAATCGTACCCAAGGATTATTTTGTGCAAAATGACCAATTTTGGTAGTTGCTGACATTTCTTGCCAACAAGGTACAAAARGGATATGATGCACTCATCATATGCACATTTCCCCAAGTTTCTGCATGGCACTTGTGCACATCATTACAAGCACAGGGTCCAGCTGTGCTTTACTTCACAGTCAAAATGATCATGAGCACAACCGTAAAATCATTTTAGCTTATATTAATTACAGTAAGTGCTTACAAGCTGTGACAACAAGTACCTGCCTCGTGTGTAAATGCATTGGCTCGGTCGTTGCGTGTAAACGACTCGTGCTAAATCATAAGTGTTGGGGAAGCTGRCAAAGTGAGTAGGAAGCAGGCAAATTGGGCATGAAGTTTACCGACTCAGGTAAAATGTGGGCGGAGCCYGTTACAAAGCAACCTGAGTCAGGTGGCTCCGTTACGTAACCCCAAAACGTATGGGTAAGTGGGGACCAAACTTCCAAAGGAGTTGAATWTGTGTGTTTGTGTACCTTTCCCTGCAGGGACACGGCCCATAAGGACAGACGACCCCTGGGCTCCTCACTGATCTCCCAACCTCCACAGCTGATGTCGCTGAAGGGATCTGGGAGAGTCATCGGCCTCGAGGGGATCTGTCAAAAACACACAGACGGTTTACACAAGCCGACGGGTCAAAAAAAAGATAGACAGCAAGTTACAGAGAGAAAGCAAGAGGCACACCTTCGCCCAGGTATCCATGGCGTTGTACCTCCTGTAGCGAAGCCATCGCCTGCGACGGACACAGGAGTTCCACTTCTTGTCTTTGGTGTAGGTGGCGGGAAAATCCATGGCATAGGTCCACCCCTGCCGGGACAAACACTTGATTCATTCGTACGAGGTAAGACGAAAAAGAACAAAAACCTCTGCGACAGAAGAAGCCCCAAACACTCACTCCTTTCTCTGTGGGTTCTCCCTCGAAGTTTTCATCCACAAACCAGTCGCCTTCCCACTCCCAGCTGCTGGAGGGGAGCCGGACGCTGTCCAGAAGTAGGTGCTGCAGACCCGTGACATCACTCCATTGCCAGCGGTCGCTTGGCAGCAAACGGTCGGAGAAACCATCGACTGGATTCCATCGCTGGGGGAAACAAGCAGGAATGTTCACGTTCATGGTCATTTTCCATGAGGATTAGTCCCAACCGTGGTGTTAGACACTGCTTTAGACTGTAAACTGGGTTAGTTCTGGAGAAGCTAGGTGTCCAATCTGCAGTGAAACAAGATGAAGTGTTACCAATGGGGGCACAAAAATACACTCAGGTCATCAGATGGGACAAGATTTTAATATTATCCTTAAAGGGATCCATAATTAGTTGTAACATTAGACTTTATATGATAAACATATATTTTAACAGTAAATTAAAAACTCTGAAAATACTGTAGGATGTTTAGTTTTTATAATTTTTAAAATATATATTTTAACAGAGACA